TTTTTTTTTTTTTTTTGTACACCATTATTACAAACTGGCTCAGCTCCATTAATGGACTATTAAACTTTTATTAGGCCCTAGCTACCATACAAAGTTTTCTGAGATCTTGTCTTGAAGGCTAAGTTAATTTCTTTATCAGCTATAAGCAAGATCTTATTGCAATTGGCAGTTTATCCTTTGCGATTTCATCTTTATTGCCAATTAACATAAATAGATCTGTCCTTGAGAAATTACTCATTTTGATATTTGATGAATGATGACTAAAAACTGGAGTGATAGATAGTATACTACGTATTCATGGCATATTCACTCTAACCAATAAGGGGAAAAGTTCTTTCCTCGGCTTCATACTTCCATAGCTTTCAGAAAAGCTTTCACAACCTGCGCATCATGGTGTGATGATAGAGTAGCTTTCTTAAAGCTTCCATAGCTTTAAGTTCGGAAACATCCCATTTCAGGTTTGCATCGTCCTACAAAATAAAGTTGCTTTCTTCTTTCTTTTCCTTATCTTCTGCATCCCGCTGGTGGCATGGGGGTGTTTGTTTGTTTTTCTTTTTTCACAATTTTGAAATGTTTTCTTCATGGAGATGAAAACATAAGTTGTCTCTTCATTCTGTGCTAGCTAGACGACACCAAAGTGCCCATGTAGATGCCAAAATTTCATGTGAATTGAAAAAAGCCTCTCTCTCTCTCTCTCTCTCTCTCTCTCCGGTTCTCTCTCCTCCTACACCATTTGAGAGACGTTCTTTACGTTTCACAATATGGGAGAAGCTCACCAGCCGCAACTCAGCATCATGGGTACGTATGCCACTTATTCATTTACTTACTGGCTTTTATGTTACTTTTCTTATTTAGATAATTGAACTAGAGGTCTATTCTGTGAATGCTTGGATATGAAATCAGCTGTGAAAGCTAGGCTATAGCACGAGTAAATCTTTGACTATAACATTTGGTTATAGAAAAAGGCTCCATTTGGATTAAGGGATTCCAAATTCATGAATTTAGACGATATTATAAGGTAAAATTGTTTGTTAAGACTATTACAATTCAAATATGCCAAGATTTTGGACCCGAAAGGAAGGAAGAAAACAGATGAATTTCAAATAATTCATTGCATACAGGTTCAAATGTAATACATCTAGTTATTGCAAATTCATTCAATCTAATTTGGTTCTATTTTCGTAGCACATTTAGCCTTATTCTCAAGTCCAAATCATTTTTTTCCAAATCCCTCCATCCAAATAAAGCCTTAAAGAATATGGTTGCTTGGTTGCTTGGTTGCTTGGCTTCTGATCATCTTCTGTGTCATCGAACTTATCAATGGATGGTAGGCCCAAGGGAAAATTCCCATGACAGAATTATATGGGATAGAGCTGGTAAACCTTTTCTTGATAAATATAAGAAAGAAGCATTTGGATTTATTCAATATGTATAGATGATCAATCTCATGAGTTGCGACTAACAGTACTGATCCTTGCATTTCTGTTCTTATCAGTTCATCATCAGGATGCAAATGGAGCAAACTCCAGAGGCGTTCGCAACACATCAGTGCTTCCTCGGGGCAAAAGTTTCAACTGGTGGCTTAGAATGACCCTTTATACATGCCTAGTGCTCTCTGGCCAGTCAGTTGCAACACTCTTGGGAAGATTGTACTTCGACAAAGGCGGCCATAGCAATTGGCTGCAAGCCCTAATGAACCTTGCTGGCTTCCCCATCCTGCTTCCCTACTATTGCATCCCAGCACTTAGCAAAAGAAATAATCCAACCACAAACAGTGTTCAATCGGAACCGCCGCCGTCTACCTTTACCCTTGCATCAGTCTATGTCTCTCTTGGCCTCCTAGTAGCGTTTGGTTGCTTCTTGTATTCTGTAGGGCTATCATACCTTCCAGTGTCCACATATTCCCTCATCTGCGCATCCCAGTTGGCCTTCAATGCACTTTTCTCCTTCTTCCTCAACTCACAGAAGTTCACTCCTTACATTTTCAACGCTCTCTTCCTGCTCACCATCTCCTCCGTCCTCCTAGTGTTTCAAGGCGACTCTGACTCAGGCGCAGCCGGAGTAATCCCCAAAGGAAAGTATGTAATTGGTTTCCTATGCACCGTTGCAGCATCAGCCTCTTATGGATTGACGCTTTCCCTAACACAGCTTGCATTCAGGAAGGTTATAAGAAAGGAAACATTTACAGCGGTCATGGACATGATAGTCTATCAGTCACTGGTTGCAAGCTGCGCCATCTTCGTAGGGCTTTTCGCTAGCGGAGAGTGGAAGGGTTTGAAGAAAGAGATGGGGGAGTTTAAATCAGGGAAGGTATCTTATATCATGAACCTAACATGGTCAGCTATAGTATGGCAGCTGTTTGCTATTGGCGGAGTAGGGTTGATTTTTGAGGCATCTTCCCTCTTCTCCAATGTCGTCAGTGCTTTAGGTTTGCCTGTGGTTCCGGTTCTAGCTGTTATCTTCTTCCATGACAAAATGGACCGAATTAAGATAGTGGCCATGGTTTTGGCGATTTGGGGCTTTGTTTCATATCTTTATCAGCACTACCTCGACGATCGAAAGGCCAAGACTTCTGAGAATGAAAATGCCAATGGTGAGGTTTCTACAATTCTCCCACCTTGAAACAAGCTTCTTTCCAGCGCTCAAGCACTAACCGGTTACCGATTATATATACATTGTTCTTTCCAAGTGCCTGAAACATGTTTAGAATTTTAAGGCTCTTCGTAGGTAAGTCAGATTTCTACACCTGCGTAAAAGGTTTTCTGGTTTTTTTCTTTCTCAATTTTTGTTTTATATTCTGGTTAGAAGATCAAAAGCATTTCATTCGAATTTCTACAAGTGGTAGAGTTGTAGAAAGTTTTGTACAATGGAGGAGCGTGAACGGCTATATAATAAGTAACTCCAGTGAAAGATCCTTCCTCTGTTTTAGAATGAATCGTTGACAGACTTTTTTCTATAAAAAAAAATAAAAAAATTTGCTATATATTAAAGGAGATGGTGATTTAAATGACCAACTAACTCATACATTAATTGATATCTACTTATATTACGTCCAAGCATTATTACTTAAAGGAAATGATGGTTTAAGAAATAATATCAATAGATATCTACTTATATTACGTGGTAGTACTAGAGTATAATTACTCGAAATTTTATCCCAAAACCCCACATGTAACTCTTTTTTTTATTTTTTTTTTGCAAAGGATCCACTAGTGTAGTGGTTTGGAGTATTTACTCCCTCAGGCAAAGTCCTGAGTTCGAGTCATAGCATCCTTGTAGAATGTGTGAGTTTAGTATGCTATTGCCCCTCTCAATTAGAGGTGTCAAACAGGCCGTGCCAGGCCAGCCCGTCCCATTTAAATTCGTGCTTTTAACATTTTCGTGCCGTGCCGTGCCGGCCCATTTAATTTATCATGCCATGCTGTGTCGGCCCATTTAATAAAATCATTGATCCCGGCCCAGCCCAAAGCCCATGTCCATATTGAAACGGGCCGGGTCGGGCTCGTGTCGTGCCCGTGCTCGTACTCGTGCCATACTCGGGCCCAAGAACCAACCCATTTAATTTGAAATTTTTTCACTTGATTTTTTTTTCCCACTAGATAATTCAAATTATAAACATTAAAAATATAATTAGAGGCAAGAAATGATGAACTCTTGGAAAACATTAATCAATCAAACATCCAAACAATATGAAGGGGCGGAGGGCAAAAAGTGTCCAACTCCACAAAGTCCACTTCAACTTTTCATCTTTAAACAACTTATTATTTTATATATGAAAAAATGTCATGCTTTGATTATAAGAGAAGCGTATATGTCATATGCATTGATTAGATATCAAGTCCAATGTTGTTTAATTAATTTGTAGTTAATATGTTTAATTAATTAAGGACTCAAGTAATTTCCCTGAAATGAAAAACATCAAATATATGTTTATGATTAAAAAAAAACATATAAACAATGACATTAGATGTCAAATTATTGTATTTTGATTTTTTGAGAAGAAAAAAAAATGCTAAATGGGACGGGCTTGGGCTCGTGCTGTGCTTGAAGCGGGCTCGGGCAATGGGCAGACCCGATCCATTAGACCTATTTTTTTATCCCGGCCCAGCCCGTTAATATTTGTGCTCATGCTGTGCCTCATTTAAACGGACTGGGCTCATGTTGTGCTAGGCCGGGCCATCCCGTTTGACACCTCTACTCTCAATAGGAAAGTTCCTCAAAAATTGTTATTAAAAAAAAAAAAAAATTCACATATATTTACCGCTGTTGTTCCTCTTTGATCGGCACACCTTTTGCGTCTTTACAAGTTTCCCCAAACCATCAAACTTCCTGAGTCAACAATCGTCAAAATCTTTCACTCGTCTTCTTCGCAAAGCACAAGCCCAGCCCTAGCCCTAGCCATGGCTATCAGCATCACAGACTACGAATCCAATTGCGACACCCACGACCTTTACAGAGTAGATTTCTTCGATGACAATATCGAAACCCTAGTCACGCACACTCCGTCCAAGGTGAGGTCTTGGATCCAGAAAATCAAATACGTACACCGTTTCAGGCTCCACGAACTCATCGTCGGCCTCGACGTTGAGTGGCGCCCATCCTTCACCCAAGACGTCACCAACCCTGTAGCAATCCTGCAACTATGCGTCGGCCACAATTGCCTCATTTTTCAGCTCTGCTACTGCGATCGGATCCCCAAGTGCCTCTTTGACTTTCTTGCGAATCCGAGCTTTACCTTTGTGGGCGTCGGGGTACAGGAAGATGTTCGAAAGCTGGCGGATGATTATGGCCTGGAGGTAGCGAATTCTGTGGATCTTAGGGTTGTGGAGGCGAGGCGCAACGGGTGGAAGCGGCCCCGGAGCGTGAGCCTGAAGGACATGGCATCGGAGGTTCTAGGGCAGGAGTTTCAGAAGCCGAAGAGTATTACTTTGAGTCACTGGGACAAGCCATACCTCTCGCCTGCGCAAGTCAAATATGCTTGTGTTGATGCCTTTGTTTCTTTCGAAATTGGCAGGGTGCTGAGCGCAGCAGAGGATTAAATAAAACATGTGGGCTGCACAGTTTTTTATTTCCTTTGTCTTTTACTTTTTGGTAAGGATGATGAACAATTGATAAATAATTTAGTTTTGCTTACTTAATACATATGCATGTGTCTTGCCAACTTACTATATAAGTATGTAAATGTTCTTTTGAATTTTTAATTTTTTTTTGCTGTCAAAATCTTAGACCTCTGTTCTTATATGGTTGGTTCCCAAGTTTGGGAACTTTTGAGTGGTACATGTGTAGCTTTGAGTCAAAGCCGTATCCTAGTTAGTTTTTTAATATTTTCCGTATCCTCGTGTCCCCATGTCCCCGTGTCCGTGCAACATAGGCTTTGACAATATGGTTTTTGTGTGTTCTTTTGAAATATTTTCATGTGAAACTCTTAGGTCTCTCTTATTATGTTTCTGAAATTTGGGGAGCCTTTCATCTTAGCCTAAGGGTAAATTCCCATGGCAGAGATTTTTGTGCAAATAATCTCATATAAGTTGCAATTAACAGAACTTATCCTTGCATTGTTACTATTCTTATCAGTTCATCATATTAGGAAGCAAATGGAGCAAACTTCCAAGGCCTTCCCAGTCTCTGTCTCTCTTGGCCTTCTAGTAGCATTTGGTTGCTTCCTCCTGTATTCTCTAGGATTATCTTACCTTCCTGTGTCCACATATTCCCCCATATGTGCATCCCAGTTGGCCTTGAATGCGCTTTTCTCCTTCTTCCTCAACTCACAGAAGTTCACTCCTTACATTTTCAACGCTCTCGTCCTGCTCACCATCTCCTCCGTCCTCCTCGTGTTTCAAGGCGACTCCAACTCTGCAGATGCAGCCGGAGTAGCCTTCAGAGGAAAGTATGCAACTGGTTTTGTATGCACCGTTGCAGCCTCAGCGTCGTATAGATTGACTCTTTCCCTAACATAGCTTGCATTCAGAAAGGTTATAAGAAAGGAAACGTTTACAGCGGTCATGGACATCTTGGTAGGACTTTTGGTCAGTGGAGAGTGGAAGGGTTTAAAGAAAAAGATGGGGGAGTTTTAATAAAGGTTTCTTACATCATGAACCTCACATAGTCAGCTATATAGTGTGGCAGCTGTTTGCTCCAATGTCGTAAGTACTTTAGGTTTGCCTGTGGTTCCAGTTCTAGCTGTCATCTTCTTCCATGACAAACTGGACGGAATTAAGGTAGTGGCCATGGTTCTGATCTTTATCAGCACTACCTGGACGATCGCATGTCCAAGACTGCTGAGAATGAGAATGCCATATGCGTACGCTTCTTTGGTTTTCTGGTTAATAGAGGAAAGCCGTTTCATTGGAATTCTTTTCCTTTTAGGGCATGTTTACGTATCAGTAATGGGTATGGGAGGAAAGGGAATGATTTCCATTCCTGACTTCTACTGCGTTTACTTGCAATCAGGAATGAAAAAATAAGTGGGCCCCACCTCAAAATCTGTAATCACATCCCCTCAAAATCGGGTATCAGATCACCTAGGGGTGAGTAGTCGATACGATTCCCATTTCTGTTTTCTCTTAATAACTTCCAAAAATACCTTTACTACTATACCATAATTCCAAAAAACCCCAAACCCTAAAAAAAATAAAAACTCACGCCAATAAGTTTCAAGACGCTCCAACTTCTTTTTCACGTTATCGTTGCAGACACAACCTCCCATGAGCAGCAGCAACGCCTTGTGCTATGTAAATCATTCTATCTATCTATCTTCTTCTTCTATCTTTTGTCTTCACATTCATCACAAAACATAGTACGGTCATAGATAAAGACTTTTGTCGAGATTATATATCTCTTTTTTTGGTAGTATGAAGATTATGCAAGTCATTATTATTTGATTGTTTACTAGTTACATAGGTGAAAGATATATATTTATTGGAGTTTATTTTTTCGTTTGAAATTGGCTCTTGACAAAGGTGTTATTAACATTATCATTGAACCGGCCTCTCGCTGTTCATCTTGTTCAACATATTGATTCCTCATGTTTACACCGCCTTACTAGTTTGCTACCGAATTAGTTTGGTCTCCTTACAATTTGAGAATTATATATGTGCTGTGGTGAAAATGTGCTGGGCATTTTAGTAATCAAATTAATTTGGATTCTGATTCATGAAAATTAGTAAACAATAACAATGGGAATCAACCCCATTCCTTTGCTAATTCCATATGTTTAGTAAACAACTTTATGGGAATGATTCTTCCCATACCGATTCAGTAGTTCCTCGATTCCTAAATTCTCTGATTCCTTACTTTCTCCATTACTGATACGTAAACATGTACAAGTAGAGTTGTAGACCTGGACGGCTATAGAATAAGTAACTCGAGCGGAAGACCCTTCCTCTCTTTTAGAATGAGTTGCTACGACATCATATTATGTTGGAATGAATTGATGAAAGGGAATGAAAAAAGAATGGTAGCTTTAAAAAAAATCGTGCTATATATTAAAGGAAATTGTGTTTTTTATTTACCAATTAATTCTGGTACCCGTATAAGTCATCTTTGAGACGGTAATTCTAAATTTCTAAATTAACAAGTATCAATTTTAACGTATTTTTTTAATACAATCGATAGTGTAAAACTATAAGGTGGAAGGGGTTCTATTGGTCTGCAAGTCACTCCTTTACACTGGACTAGACTTCATTGGCTCAATTTGAACTTATTGTTTCTGGCACAATAGTTCAAGTCCTCAACCAAAAAACAAAATTCTTCACAAGTAATCAGTTTTACGTCAAAATGCTCAATGCACCCTCTTTTCATGGATAGTGTGAAACAATAAAAAATTTGGGGGGCTAGATTATGAATAATAGTGTTACTTTGGGGAGGGAGGCCAAAATGGCTCCTAGCCCATTGTCCCTTGCTCCACATCTAGACATGCCAGCATAATGAAAAATATTAAAATAAGAAATTGGGTGGGAAAATTAATTTTAAATGTCAAATGTTACTATTTTCTAGAAATCTTATAACTTCCGAGAGGAAAAATAACAGAAAAAGATAGATAGCTAATAAATGGCGGGAGATTCAAATGAAAATAAAACGCGGGACAAAGTTGTGCGCCATCGCCTAAACACAAGTACCAACACAAATGCAACATGATTTCAACAAACTTTGTTTCCTAATTTGGTTTTTTTTTTCTTTCTGGGTTCGCAGATTAAGGCCTCTTCCCACTTGTTCCATTCCATCGTTTCTGGTTTTTATTAATCTTTCTCAAGTGTCTGAAAGATATTAAATTTTTATCTTCTTTGATTTTTTTTATTATAGTCATGGCCTCGCCTCCAGATCTAAGAAACTGGTTCCCAAGATACCAGTATGAATCACCTGCAATGAATTCCGAGTCGTTGCTAGATGATTTCGGTATCGATGAAGTCGAAAGAGAAGAAAAAGAAGAAAATTCGGGTGGGTTCAGGGGAAAAGGAAATAAAGATGGAGCTTTTGTCCATGAGAAGCAAATCTCAAATGGGGTTGTGGAATCTGGCAGCTCTTCTGGAAATGAGCATGAAAACCAATGTTTAAGTAAGGTAGCCTTGCTTCTCGTCCTTTTTTCTTTCATGGGTTCTATTTCATATGGAACACAAACAAAAGATTTCATAGTTTCTAGATATAATTTATGGTTCTGAATTGGATTTTAAGATTGTAAATTAAAAGTAGAAATAAAGAAATATTGTACTAAGGGATAAAGCAATGTCCCACATTTAAGCATTTAAATCAATTTTGCTGCAGATTCCAGGTTCTTCGGAATCAACTGCGTTCACTTCAGGTTTGTATCACTCATATCCATAGTTTTTTTTCCGCCCAATTTATTGAATTGTTTGACCACTGAGAAAATGGATAATATAAGCAATGCAGTCTTTGAATAATATTCTCTGGTTCCATTTATTTCTTGGCAATCAAACAGAAGATATGTGAAAAAATAAAGTAATTGATCTGTTTGTGTTTCCTCATCTGTTAGAGCCCACTGACATCAGAAACTGGTTCTCAAGCTATGTGTATGAATCTCCTTCGTTGGATACAACTGATGATTTTGGAGATTCTGTTGGCAAAGAAAGTAAACATGAGAAGGATGGATTTTTGGTTGGAAACAGAAACAGGGAAAAAGAAAAGGAATTAGGGGATTTTAGTATAAACAGAAGTGATAGCGAGGAGGTCGTTGGTGAAACGGTACAGTCAGATGGGCTTGCAAATTGCAACATATCTTTGAGAGATAATGAGCAGGAAAGGCAGCCTTTAAGTGAGGTACTATTTCTGTATCTCTCCTTTTCCCTATAGAGATTTCAACAACCTAGGCAGTAAATCCTTATTCTCAAGATCTAGAAGTGATTGCAGGATATAACTAATGAGAAAGAAAAAATAAAGATCAATCACCAATTATAGAAAACAAGGATTTACACTCCTTTACCAACCTGAATCTACTAAAACAAAGAACTAGAAGTGCATTACAACGAAAAGTGAATAGTTTTCCTCACACTCACTAATAATCTGTGTCTCTCCCCTTGTTCTCTATCAAGAACTCAAATATACACAATAGTCTCACACAACTTTCTTCTTGTAGACTCCCGGTCCTTTGGAGTCACCTTCGCTCCTTTCAGGTTTGTCTCACCTATTTCTGAAGTTATTGTTTTTCCCCTTCGTTGAATTGTTGGGCTACTGAGAAAATGTATGTAAGCATTGAATCTTTGAACTGTATTCTCTGCTTCCATTTGTTTTCTTGGCAATAAAATGTAAGATGTGGTTTTTTATGTCAAGAAAATAAGAAAATGAAGTTATTGATCTGTTTGTGCTTCCTGATCTGTTAGAGCCTATTGACATCAGAAACTGGTTCTCAAGCTATGTGTACGAATCTCCTTTATTTGAGACAAATGATGGTTTTGGAGATTTTGTTTGCAAAGAAAATAGAAGTGGGAAGGATCGGTTTCTGGTTGAAAACAGAAACAGAGGAAAAGAAGAGGCTTTGGAGGATTTCAGTAAAAAGAGAACTGATGGTGAAGAGGTTGTTGAGTTGCAGTCTGAAGGGCTTGCAAAATTTGTCAGCCCTGAGAGAGATAATAAGCAGGAAACAAAACCTGTAAGTGAGGTACTCTTTCTATATCTCTCCTATTCCCTATAATTTCCCACTTTTCTTTGTTAAACCTTTCTTTCTTCTGTTTTGCTTTGTTTGGTTATGATAGTTGTGTATTTCCACATTATTGATATTGATGAATCAATAACTGACATAATAATTCTTGCTCAAGTCATCATTACCCTAATAATGTCTGTAATTTACAGGGTCACCCCAGTCGAGTAGATGAAAACCTACCTAGTCAGAATGATTTGTATCTCAACCATATGCCTAAATCATTGGAAAACCATGTTATGGGTCCAGCACAAGATGTCGAAATAGGTTCTCAATGCAAGCTAGAGGATGAAGGAACCAAAATAAAGCCATCGAACATCGAAAGAAGTTCATGCTGCAATAATGAGAAGTCTCCACAATACATGACTCATAACAAGGATTTCACTTTACAGGACAATTCAGGAGCAAAATGCCATGCAGAAGTTGATTGTTTATTAATTCAAGGTGATGCAGAGTTAATTCCAGTTAATGGAGCGTCAAAAAGAAAACCAACTCATGGAAGCGAAGACAGAAACGATAATGGAAAAGAAATATCAGAAGACGGTTTTATTAGAACAAGGAAAGACAAACTTCCAAGAAAAAGTTATGAAAATATTATGGAAGGACGACAAGAGATTAGTAAAGTGACAGCTCCATTAGCAGGTGGAAGGGACGCAGTAGTGAAAAGAAAGCCCTTAGCAGATGCAACAAATTTTCATCATTCACCTGCGATAGAGATCACTGGAAAATGGAAGTGTCCTCAGAAAAGTAAGCCAAATCTAGGACCCTCTTTGAAGCAGCTTCGACTAGAAAAATGGGTTCGTAAGTTGTGAAAGCTTAAAATTAGAGTATCTTGGATGTTTAGAGTCCAATAGAACATAAAAGGGGGCCCTAACTGAGACAGGCAGTTGTGGAACGACAATTCTTGTGCCACAAGCTTTGAAATTTGGAAAATCTTCGATGTTGAAGAGAGAACAACCAAAGCAAACCTTAAGTTTACTGCTTGCTCTTGCAACCAAGATAGACAATTGCTAAAAAACTAACTACCAAATAGCAATTTAAGTCACTGGGCTAACCCTTCAAATTGAACATAAGTGTGGCAAGGTAGCTCATAATAACTAGGCTATCATTTGACTTTATTTCCAAGCTTTGCACATTTTGCCTTGTGTAAATTCCTCCAAGAAGGAGAAGAATAACAAATCAGATAATGATTTTCCTCTCATGTTCTTGATTCTTCCCTATACTAATTAGAATTTTAAATCCGGGGTTTCAGAATTTATTTCTCCATGTGTTTGAGAGTTATTTTTTCTTGAACATTATGCATCGGATGTGGATCCTCTGTTTGTGTATTGTATGTTTGGATATGATTAGGTTTTAATTGTAGCTTGCCACTTCACTCTTCTACTGATATAAAAATTGACACGCCCTATATTAGTCATTTTTCTTAAGAAACCAAATGCCGTTCTGCCATTCAGGTTACTAAATCAAATTGGGAAAAAACCGGTCCCAACTTCGGAACTTCCTACATATGTATAAAGGCAATTAAGTTGCCTATGTATGCCACAACTGCTGCTTCTCTGTAATCTTCTTAACCAAAGTCTAAGAACCATGAAATTTTTGGACGTGGAGGAGGCTAACAAGCAGGACTTGTTTTCACTGCCAACAACTCTCACCAATGTGATGTTTAACTTCATCATTTTGGTGTCTGTGATGTTTGCTGGCCACCTTGGTCAGCTTCAACTAGCTGCTGCAAACCTAGCTTCCATTCTTTGTCTTTCTTCGGATCTCTCATATGATCAAAACTTACAACCACCAACATATTGTTTCGTGTCTTGTATCTGAGCCCTTTGAGTTTGCTCCAATTCCAGGTAACCTAGGCCCTAGAATTTTCAAACCTCATTCACTCCACCCATCTAAACATTTCCAGTCCCCCATTATCTTGAAAGACAAAAATTCTAAATGGTACGCAATGTTACAGTCAATCTTGGTACCCCCACTCAGCCATATCTATGGAATTCTCTTTAAAATATGGATGACAGTTTGCCAATATTCCATAAATAATCAATTATCTC